TTACACTGGAACAGTTGAAATTTCCATCTCCAATGAACGCTGACCACAACACTTTTGCTAAGAGTAGACACTGAATTCTCAACACAATGATCTATATAACCCTTTTCACCTGATAATAGTAAATCTAAGATAACTATGAGTTACATATGTTTTGAAAGATTGTTTATGTTAGGGACAGAAAAGAACATAATAAAAAAATAGAAATCCAATGAGTTTTCAGATGCTACATGTAAAGTCTCCAATAAAGCTAAAAGCAGTGGAATCCAGTAAAAACCTTGCACATTTTAGCTATTATCATCATTTCTGCTATCACAACTATTATTGCCGCTACAATCTGCCCTTGTTCAACCATCACTACTAAGCTATTTTAAATATTACATTTCTATTGCACAGTTTCTGAGGAAATCCACATCCTATGCTGAATAATATGGCATCTTTCATATTCTGGGTTTAGACTCCCTACGTTTACTTCCAAATTCCATTTAGTAGCTGCGTAAATCTGAGGTAATTTACTCAGAGACTATTATCTCAGTGTAGTTTGCATCTGTAGCACTAAGATAACACCAGCATTCTTCACAGAGGGCACCATGCAGTTTGAACTATGAATTATAGGGGAAAGGCCCAGGATACCACCTAATGACAGCAAGTATTCTAGGTGTTCTTTATGACTAAATGTAGCAATTTGCTAATAATAAGTTAACATGTGGGGTCCATCACAGTCCAGTGTTATTGGTAATGGAAAAACAATAATGTTCCTTACAAGCCCCAACTGCTAAGAAGCAGCAGATAGACTTAACAAAAGTGAGTAATCTGCCCACAGTGGTGGTGCTACTCTGTGGCAGAACTGCAGGGCTAACAACACTTCCTGCTACGAAACAGGTTATCTAGTTCATTCCCAAAAGGATTATATAATTCATTTTCAGAATGGATTCTTGTTACATACCCACAGCCAGTGGAAGACAGAAACATTTAAGCTTAGCCTAACTCTGTCCAACCTCACCGTCACATGAGTTCCTAAAAGTGAGAAAGAAACCACTTGACATCCTTCTACCTACAGAGTCTCCTCTACAAGCAGAAGAGAAACCTCTTCTCTTCAATTAAACAACCTATGACATCAAATACTTTTGCATGCAAGATGACAAGAGAAAACAATTTATATAGAACCCAGAACTCCTACAGAGACAAAATATGGCTTTATGTTCATTCTACCCCAACTCACAAAGATCTGTAGAGTAAGCTCTAGCTAAGGTCAGGCATACAGCTGTTTCCACATAAAACTACTTTATTCTCCATTTGTCTATCAGAATTTATACAGTTTCATGAGGATGGTTTCTACAGCCAAATACTAACACTAAAAAGTGTTAGGAGAAAATTCCTATTGTACAGACTTGGAACTCACAGAATTGTTAAGTCTAAGGTTTCAAAACACTCAAATTCCCAGTGTTTCTAACCTAAGAATCAAGGGAGAGATTAGAGCTCCTAAAACATTCCAGGGCAACCTATACTATGCTGATTACAACATGTCTCAATTACTACAGCAAAAAAATAACCCAACAAGACTAAGAATACCTAGCTAATAGTTCTGATCCCTATCTTGATTGAACAGCTCCATCTAGTTATAATAGCTAGCATTTCCCTAGTAGAATTAGAGAGTTTATTGCCCAAAAAGAAAAGTTCCTAAGCTCTGATCAGGGTCTAGAGACACGGTTCAGCAGAAGATGCACCAGCTGCTCTTCAGAGGACCCAGGTTTGGTTCCAGCAGCGACATGGCCACTCACCAGCTTCTGTACCTCCCACTCCAGGTGATCTGATGCCCACTTCTGGCCTCCCAGGGCAATGCATGCACACGGTGTACAGACATATAGATAAAAACACCCAGACATAAAATAAAAATAAATCCTCAAATCTGGTCATTAAAAATATTTGAATCCTTTTAAACTCTATTCAGATCTTAAATGCACTTACAGACAAAAATTAAGGTGTGGGGTTAGCAACAACTCGAAAGTTAAAAACAATGAAAAAGGTCAAGAGTAATGATAATACAGCTCAAGGAAACAAAATCTAACTCCACAAATTATGACATAATAGAGCAAGATGTAATGAGATCGATGTTTAATAAAGTTCAATGTAACTAAGTATACAACATGTAAAGATAGAATATTAAAACTGAAGTCAAAAGAAAGGACAGTGCCAGAAAGGTTTGTTTTGATAATTTTCCAAAAATGGAGTGATAAAAAGTCCAGAGTAGGTGCTGGAAAGATGATACAGTGGTCAAGAGCACTGCCTGCTCCTCCAGAGAATGGAGTTTGGCTCCTAGCACTCACAGCCAGGTCTAATTTCAGTTCCAGATATCTGACGCCCTCTTCTGGCCTCCACAAGCACTGCAGACACAGCACACATACACAGGCAGGCAAAACACCCATATACATAAAATATATATACACTCTTAAAACAATTTTTAAGACCAGAGTATTAGGATACAAAGAAAGAATAAAAAAATATTCAAGCCAGATAGGGAATCCGCACAAAGATTTAGAGTTGGAAATGGGGGAAGAACATCCAATACAGGTAAAGATCTAACAAAAGTCTAGAGGCCCAAATAATAGAATTCATATAGTTTCAAAGACAGAAAAATATTAGAAGGAGAGAGAGAGAGAGAGGGAGAGAGAGAGAGAGAGAGAGAGAGAGAACAAAAAGAAGAGGAACAAAGAGATAAGAGGAAATAAATCTAGAGACGACAAATAAATCTAACCTCAAGTCTAGAATCTGGAGCTGGAAACTACTCCAAACCAAGAAGTATCTTTTTATTTTACTCTGAAAAAATTAAGAGTGCTCAAATTTGAGATATGTGATGTTAAAAATTATTTTTCTTATTTGACACAGATTTACTCTTCCTCTAATAAACTTGGTAGAGACCTTTCCGAATTTATAAGAATGGTTATGGTAAACAGAAAACTGAAGGCAGGAGCAAGGAGGGGGAATCTCCCTCTGAGGTACTCAGACAATAGCCAATCAGCTTTCAATAGAGATGATGGATCCTCCAGCCAGACCAAACCCGAACAGCTGTTCAGTACCTTGTAAGCCTCCCTCTCTGCCCTTTAATTTTGTAAAAGTTAAATTTGTTAACATTTATAAAGCATTAAAATAATGTCTGGTACATGGGAACTATGCTTATTAAAGTAATTAATACACAATGTTTAGGGAATTTTTAAGAAGGCATTTGCAAATGAATCTATATGTTATCTAGTAGATCATGAAACGAATAATTCTGATCTTTACTTTCCTCTCTGGGGAATTATAATGTCTAGCATTTAATAATAAAAAAGTCATGAGGATGCAAAATTCCATTATAAAAAGCTGTGGACAAAGCAGATGCTCTTTAATCTTATTTGGGAAGGGACAGGAAAAAAGTAAAGATACACCAAAATAAACAGTGATGGCAGTTTGCTAGGTTAAGACAAAGGAAAAATAAGTGGGTATATCAACCAATTGGCTTTAGAAATAAAAGAATTCCAAATACTTATAAGAGTTTACAATTCCTAATATTAGTAGATGGATCTTAAAAGCAAAATGAACTAAGAAACAAGTGTTATTAGATAAAATTGCTAATTATGGATGTTAGGCCATTTGTTATGACAATTAATTATAGATCTGTAGACATGGACATTACAAACATGGATCAAGTATCTTCTTGCGTTATAGGTTTGAGGAGAGACACCTCAAATTTCTAAGGAGACCTAAATACAGTTTTGTGAAAAATCATTAAATAATGATTACACTAGAAATGTTCTGTAAAGTCAAAAGGCAACATTGGCTTAATAACATCAGATATTACAAGCATAAAATATGAAGCCCAAAATATAAAGATCTCATTTGGACTAATTTAAAAAAAAAATCAGGTTGTTTGCTTGCGTTACATTGTTGCTTGCCTTGCTTCTTCACTTCAAGGGGGCACTAGAAACTGAAAGTGGAGAGGACAGTGAAAGGCAGCGAGAAAGAGACTAGTAAGTACCCCAGATCTCCTAAGGAGAACAGAGGAAGAAGAGGGTGGGGTTGCTTCTGTTGCTTTCAGAGAATTAAATGCTAGCACAAACAGTGACTATTTGCATCGAGTTTCACAGTTTTGGCCCTGGCTAAGCGAAGTCCTCCATCCCTACTTCTCTTCCTCTTCTAATTAACTTCCAACTAACATAAGAGCATAATTTCCCTTCCTCTACTAAGCAGATGAACTATCAGAGGTTCATAAGCACATATGGAACACAGAAATATCAGTAAAAGATATAAATGTGTGTGAGAACTGAAGACATGTTTACTTGGGTTTTGGCATGCATGGGCAGCCCGTTTTATGGCAGTTCTCCAGGAGTTCCCATCCTGAGCAGTCCTAGATGCTTGGGCTATTGTCCCACCCAAGGTTCCACAATGACGATGGTAACGATTTAGGGTTGAGGACTGGGCAGCCTCTAGAGCACTGGATGACCTCTCTCTCAATGTTTCAAGTGCTGACCTTATAGACACATGCTACTGCAGTGAGATCAGAAAATTTGCTTTCTTTTTAAATTGTGGTGTGTGTGTGTGTACACTCATGTGTGCAAGAACGTAAGTCCATGCCTATGTGAGGAGGCCAGCTCTATTATTATTCCCGAGACAAGAAGTTCTCTCGCTGAACCTCAAATCTGTCTGTGTCCACGCCCCCACAGAGCTGGGACTGCAGGTGCAAGCAGCCATGTCAAGCTTTATCTGTGGGCTCTAGAGACTTGAACTAAGGTCCTCACATTGGTGCGACAGGAGCTGCTAAGCTGTCTCCCAGCAACCCCAGGAAGATTCCTTAAAGTTCATTTTCTCATCAGCTATTTCATATTATAATCCATAATACCCTAGGACTGTTTCTTCAGTTCAGAATCACTGTGGTTTGTGCTCTGAATTCTAATCAATCAGCAAAGTGATTTGCTGGAGGGATGGAGGGGTTATTTCTAGAGTCAGTTCACACTTTTCACACCTACCTTCTCACCACTCGAGTAGAAGAAATACCGCAATCGGACTATGTTACAATGATCTAGCTTTCTCATGATCTGGAGCTCTCGGTTCTGCAAAAAAAGCACATGCAATAATTAAGAATAACAGCTACTCATCATAAAGACCAAGATACTTCTAAAATAACATTAAGCTTAGAAACAGGCTCTGAATATACAGTGGCACACAACTGTAATCTCAGTTCTCCTGAGGTGGAGGCAGGAAGACCATGAGTTCAAGGCCAATTGGGATACTCTACCTACAAAATAAAAAGGAGGGAAAAGAGAAGTACCATTGTCAGACAATGAGTCATTTGCCATTACTCATCAGTAGAACAAATGCAGAAATTAAGGTCTAGATTTCACTCCAATATTACAGGACCACAAAATTCTCTAAATGATCTCCGATAGGCGGTTTTTATAAGTACCAGGCAAATCAATGTTCAGTGAAGTCTCGTGTCTGAGATGCACTCGACAGACAACTGCTGCCGCTCTCGTGCTCTCACTAAGGTGCTCTTCACTAGCTGAGTGTGGATACACCACCTCCACAGGGAGCACATTTATTCTGTGCCACACACTGTTCAATATTATGGACAAAGAAATAAATAAAACTACTCTCAAAAAACTTAAGGGTCTACGGTGTATGAGCTCATGTTTTACCTCTGGGTTATGGCTATACCCAAAGGGAATTTTAAAATATGGAAATTTAATAAGCATAAGCTGACTCAGTGGGTGATAGATTTCTAGACAAACATACACCTGGTTTTCAATGTCCAGCTTCCAGAAAAAGCCCCATGGAACCCTGCATGCCTATAATCTCAGATCTTTTAAGTAGAGGCAGGCAGATCCTAGACACTTACTGGCTAGTCAGCCTAACCTACACACTTAGTATTTCAGGTTCATGAGAGACCCTGAGCTGCGAGGGCACAATCTGCTCCTTCAGCCAATAACCTTAAGATACCAGCCCACTGGGACGTGGTCTCTTATACTTTAAAAAAGGAGCAGAACCATGCTGGCTCCCGTTGAGACGGTTGAGACGGCTAGACTCTCTGTTTCCTGTTTGCGACAAGAGGACCGTTGTTTGGGACGGTGATCTGTAAGTTTTTTCCCTTAAAAAAAATAACCCTTCTTATTATCCATAATTCTCAACTGGTGTGGGACTGTTTTGCGGCTTCATCTGGTGCCCAATGTTTGGTTTTAGAACCCCAGGCTCTACTGCCGCCACCAGCTCAGAGTGCTCCCAGCTCAGCGCGAGTCCTCCCTTAGCAGGCCACCGCCTGTGTGAGGAGCCAACAAGAAAAGGGAGAATGGTAAAGACCCTCAAGATTTTCTCCAGTCTCTCTCCCCTCTATTCACTCCCTTCTCCCCCTCCACACACACACCCCACAAACACCCATGATATTTAAGTCCTCTTTATTTGGGTAGTAGTTTTGATCCAAGGTACAATTATCTGTCACCTGTGTGGTCAATTTAGCGGCTTTCTGAGCTCAATGAGTCTAGAAAAATGTGTGTAGGAACTGACAAGTGAAGTGGGTTTTTGTTTTGTTTTGAATTCATATTTTTTAAAATTTCTTTTGGGGGTGGATGCTACAGGGGTGAGGGACGAATATAGAGGGACTAGGAAACGAGCAGAATTAGGGTATATGACATAAAATTCCCAAAGAATCAATTAAAAAATTGTTAAAATGTCAAATTTACGAGCTATAGATAATAGATATTTTAGATCAAGGTGTGAGGTGGAACTTTGTAGGAACACACAGGGACTCCTGTCCATCAATGTGACTTAGGAGACGAACCTCTAGCACACCTGTGATTCGTGATCATGATCAGGCCAACCGAGGCGGGAAGACCCCATCCTGAAGTCCATGGCACTGCTCCCTGGGCTTGTGCCCTAGACTGAAAAGAGGGCAAACGCTAGCTTAACACTACCATTACCATTCTCTGCTTCCAGGCTGTGGGTGAAATATGTCACCCCTTCCACAAGGACTTGCCAGTCAAGATGGACTGTACACTTGAACTTTAAGTCAAAGGAAACTCTTTCTCCCTGAAGATGCTCTTGTCAGAGTATTTTATTACAAAACAGGGACTGTAACGAAGACATATTTGAAGCTGTTAGCAAACAACACAGCAGTTATGAAGAACCTTGGGGATAGGCTTGGATGTTCCAGAAAGAGCTAGAAAGATAAGATGGTGGCATTATTGAGAGCATGAGAGTAGGGGGGAGTAAGTTCAAAGAGAGAGATAGTAGGGGGCAAAGAGGAATAAAGCCTCTTCAACCACGGTGAGAAATTCAATTTAAATGTAATGAAAGTCAATAGAGATTTTGACAGGTGAAGTTATGAGCTGACATAACCATTCCAAAAGAGTGTTCTAAAAATTGAACTGAATATGTTTGAATAATGGGGGGCAGGAGGAATCTTGAAAAAGAAAGGAAGGAATAATGGAATTTTAAGTGAAGAAAGAAAAGAATTTACCTTGGAGCGATGAAGGAGCTTTTTAAAAAAGCCATCGTTTTTATTAAAGGGTGTTAAGGGATTAAGGCAGAAGCAGAACACTGGCATACGGCTAATGGAAGGTGCTGGTTTCAGAACAGCAATGAAGACACAGACTGACGAGGCGGAATTAAAGCACGTGTAGGAGGCACAGGATATTAAGGATGAGAAAGTTTCAGCGGAGCTCCAGCTATGGAAGGTCAGGAAACCCACTCTCCCCAAACACCTGCAAACTGCTTTCCTGGAGACCCAGAGTAACCTCGGGGAAAATGCGAGCAACTCAATGTGTTGTCCAACTCACACATACACTACGTACCAAAACAAGGAACCTTTATAACTACAAACATAACCTCTCATGAATAACATAACTTATTAACTGTGCCAAGAAATTAATTTTTAACACAGAATTAAAAAGTTAATTACTATGAAAAAACTCTATAGACTACAATCAGGTAAGAGATTAATAAAATAAAAAAATACTCTAAAACAATCACACAGGCTTTAAAAAATCCACCTCCAGGTCTGGAGCAATGGCTCAGTGGTTAAGAGCACAGAATCCTGATTCGATTCCCAGAACCTACATGGTAGTTTACATGTAACGCCAGTTCCAGGATATCGAACGCGCTCTTCTGGCCTCCGTGGGCCTAGGCACATACATGATGCAGACATTTAAACATCAAAATGTGCACATAAAATACAAAAGTAATTTTTCTAATCCAATTCCAAAGGCTGGAAAGAAGGCACAGTGGTTAGGATGCTTGATGACCTTGCACAGGACCCAGGTTTGGGTTCCAGCACCCATAAGGTAGCGCCCAACAGTTCCAGGGAATTCAGCACCCTCTTCTTGCCTTCATGGGCACTAAATGGGCACATACTAATGCAGGCAAAACACTCATAATACACAGAAAATAAAAATAAATGAATCTTTTTAAAAAATCAGACTCTAGAGTTTCCACAGTATAAAAACTATTCTATTTAAATTGCAAATGCATATAAACAACAGGAAAAATTGATATTTGTGCTAAAAAAAAAAAACCCTAACAGACTGGTTCTGAACAAGTGCATTCAGCAATGAATATAAAGCAGCTATTCTAATCATAATGTACACATGTATTCACTTTCTTTAATTTCATCAAAAAATAAAATACAAGCCATAACATAATATATTGCATAAAACAGTAATGGCACAAAAGAAGGGAAGTGAGGCTATATTTGAGCTGTATTTTACTGGAATAAAGGCAGCATTAAGCTGAAACAGACTGTCATAAATTGAAGTGCTGAGTGTAATCCCCAGAACAACCACTAAAGATTTGAGCTTAAGAGTCTACTTGTGGCATATCTGCAAGGGGTTTGAGAGATGGCAGGGAGTGGCAAGGCCTGAACTGAATGCTGACAGCACCATTCCATGGGCTAGGCTCCTAGACTGTCTGATGAGCATAAGGAAAGCAGCGCCAGTGTCCATCTCTTTCTGCTTCTGACTAAGGCATGTGCCCAGCCGCCGCCACACGTAAAACAGCTCTTGCCCCATATTTTCCCACCACAATGGACTACACCCTCAAACTATAAGCCAAAATAAACCCGTTCTCTCTCTCTTTGCCCCCAGATATTTAGTCAGAGCAATGAAAAAACTAACACGGTGCACTAAAAGTTTCCATTTGGATTGGGATAGGGAAGGAAAGGAGTTCTCAGGAGGCCCCGCCCACCCTTAAGGGCTGAAGGAAGAACTGTCACTGTCTTCTGTGCCACTGATGATCTCTGCCCACGCTCCACTGAGATCTTCCACACGTGCTCATGTCGGCAATCCTAACTAAATGCAGTGGGTAACACACACGACATGACAGGAAGAGTGGGACCTGCTGTGGAAAAAAAGGAGGGTTACAGAAGAAGGGAGGGATGAGTAACGGGGTGGGGGTGGGGGGAAGACTTACTAGACTTTATTACATAGACGTAGGAAACTGTCAAAAATAAGGAAAATGCATTTGTTAAAGACAAAGAAGCCAGGAAGTTCTAGAAGGGAGGGACAAACCAACGTGAGATAGAAACCACGAGATGGTACCAGTAACTCCTTATGAAATTACATAAATTATGAACGAATTAAGTACATGACCAAAAGGCAGAGATTGCCAAACTGGAGATTTTATTAGCTTTTGAGACAGGGTTTCTCTGTGTGACCCTGGCTGTCCTAGAACTCGCTCTGTAAGCCAGGGCATGCCCCACCACCACCAGACTAAAACTGGGTATTTTTAAGATGTAAATATACTTCTATCTATAGGAGATACAGTTTAAACTGAAACACACAGATCATTTCAAAGCAAAAGAAATACCAAGCAAACTATACCCCACAGGACACTTGTGGATATTGTAATCTAGAAGAGGGAGACCTGTTTTCCTGCCAGTGCCAACTCACTCTGTAATGACTTCTCCTTACCCAAACAACCACGCACACATTAAAATGTGTGCTCTACCTTAGACCTAAATTTTGCTTCACATACCAGAGTGGCAATGCTACCTGCTCACAACAGAGACCACTGATCACACTATTACTGGAATGACCTGAACCTTCCTGCTACACACACCTAACGA